TAACATCCCTGATCAGCTCAGAAAGGCAGAAAAAATCTGGTTTGGTCTCATCAGGAAGGTGACGCTATGGGTCATATGGAAAGAGAGATGCAGCAGAACAATTGAAAGACAGTCCAACCCACGGGAGAAGGTTTGGGTGGAAACCAGAACGATGATACAAGCCGAGATCTTGTGCAGATGGCGGAAGACCAAGCAATCATGGACAGAAGATGAGGAACAGCGAAAGAAGGAGAGATTGAGGTTTAACAAGAACTGGCTGACAGACGGCAAGATTGCAGAGATACGTGAAGATCGTATCTGTTAGAGAGAGAGGCATAACTCAGTGGCAGAAAGAGGCTTCCAACAGCAGACAACTACTGGTGGGCTAATGACTTCTTGAGAACCAACTGAAGAATGACAATGCATCAAAGGTTGAGGACTCAGGGATGAAGCGGTATCCGAAAGGAGAAAGGGTATGCGGGGGGCAGGATATGCTATGCAAGCGGCAAAATTTAAGGCAGACGCTCCACTAAGACGGGAAACAGCGGAATAGTGGCGGAATTAAAACACGACCGGGTTACCGGATCTGAAGGGAGAGCGGGGTTCGAAGTACCACTGATGAGGATTTAGGGCTTAAGGGCAAAAGATGATTTCTACAAGGGAGGTTAAGGTGGGGCAGAGGATTGTGGACCTCTCAGGTAGTCTTGGCAACATGGGATATAACGACCAGCGGGGTCAGGGAGTGTTCTCTTTCTAGGCATCATAGACTTATCTGGCAGACCGGGTTACCGGATCTGAGGAAAAAAAAAGGCTAACATTATGGGTCATATGGATGGAAAGATGCAGCAGAACAATTGAAGGACTGTCCAACCCACGCAAGAAAGTTTGGGTGGAGACAAATATGATGATACAAGCCGGAGCAACGAAAGAAGGAGAGATGGACCTTCAACAAGAACTGGTGGATAAACGGCAAGATTGCGGAGCTACGAGAACCGTATTGGCTGGAAAGAGTGGCATATCCCAACCCCAGGAAGGACTCACCAGCAACACACAACTGCGGGTGGACAACACATTCCATGATCAGACATCCACGAGGGGTGGATAAGACGGAAGTAAGGGTGTCATAGAGCAGAATAGTAGTCGAGGGGATTAAGGGTTTAAGGGATTTTCAGAGAGGGTAGAGAAATCTCGGGCAGGGGACAGGGTGGCTCTCGGGTAAGAATGGTTAAAAGGAAGTACAAGGGACAGACAAGACAACCGGGCAAACTCTTTCTAGGAATTTAGAACTATCTGACGGACCTGCAATGAACCCAGATCGTGAAGATACTTGTTAACAATCCCAGCACATACAGATATCAACCTGCTGATGAAATGTTAAATAATCATAATTGTGTCCAAATAGAATGAGAGATGACGAAGAGAGGAAAATGACAGGCGGAATTTGGGTTGTTTCCGATTAGCGATTTTGATGGAGCGAACGCGCCGCTCCGGTTAGCGCGCACGCTAACGCAAACACGCTCCCTGGGGCCCGACGTTGAGCGCGAAGGCGCAAAAACACTGCGCGCCCGCGCGGAAACGAATTTTCGAATCAGGCAGGACACGAGGCGAGAGGAAGGCGGGAACGAAACACGCTTTGCCACGCCCTAGGTCGTGGTGTACGGAAGTATAGGGCAGGAGGAATTATGCGAAGGAGAGAGAAGGGAAGGGAGGAAGGGGCAACGTGACACAAGGACAAAGAAGGAATGATGATGACGTGAGTGGAGAGAAAAGAGAGCAAGGCAGGGAAGAGGCAACAAAAGTGGAAGGTCAGATGAGATGAGCGCAAGGCGAATCCTCCAAGGGTCATCACGAAGGGAGAGAAGAGACAGAGAAAGTAAAACAGTAAGGTAAGATCGTTCCTCTTACGTACCCCGAAGACAGCAAGTGAAGGCGAAAAGGACAGCGGCGGACACAAAGAGGAGAAAAGGACTTTTCTGAAGGCGCGAAGACAGCTGCTCGTTTTTTTTAGAAAAAGAGCACTCATTATTGGTCCAAAAGAGATTACATTCTTACCGGAATTTTTGTCGGATTTAGTGATAGACCAGAGAGCGTCAAGAAAGGCAGCGCTCACTTGACAATTCGCCCAGCGGAACACTAATTTCTTATATCAGCACTACACAGTAGAAATTTCCCGAACAAATCTTTCCACCTTTAGTAAGAGGAGCACAGACCTCATCATTAGGATAGCCAAACCCTTACCGCGTCCTTATGCTCAATAACGAACACCATCTACTCTAACACAACACCTCACCGACCCCTCACCAACACCCTCGCACCCACCCCTCCACGACCCACCCTCTCTTATCATCGCCCGATCCTACACCCGATCAGGAAACCACTGAGCGACCAAAAGCGGGAAACAACATAAAAGTGGAAGCGGACGAAAAAGGAAGAGCGCACTTTAATTTTTAACCCAATTCGTGGTATTTTAAGAGGAGAGAAGCTCATAATCACCACTGCACATAAATTATCATTGCACTGTATATAAATCATCTACTTTTCCTTATTATTATTATTATTATTATTATTATTATTATTCTCCGTATCGAGGTTACAAATTTAAAAGTCCTCTTCAGTGGCGGTTTTTCTCTCCGGGAAAGGAGGGAAAAAAACGAACCCCAAGTGGGGAAGGGAACCCCTGTTCATCTGCTGACTTTTCAGTCCAGACACCAAGCCAGCTACTGGAGCGGGGAACCTCTGCCCGATTAATCACACAAGCATCAAGTCTGTTCGTACAAGTGCGTGCTTGAGCAGGAAAGTATTCCCTCCGAAAACGGTGAAACATGGTGGAAACATACGCTCAAGCTGCTCACAGAGCACTGGTCACGACCGCGGGAGTAAATCCTGCTGCTTCCCAGACCTCCGCTACTTCCCACGCCCCCAGCTCTCATTCCCAGGCATCGTCCGAGGGTACACAGAGCTGCTGCCCCGAAAGCTTTGGGGCAGAGAGCAATCGACTTCCTCATGAGCAAGACCGAGATAAAGGAGGAAATCATCAAAACCAAGGAAGTCATTAGGAATACAGCAGGGGAGGATGAGGAAGTGGAAATATGGGAATATCCCAAGCAACGGCTCCAGTCATTGAACGAACTATACGAAAAACATGTTGTCCTGTTCAACTTTACCAACAAGAACAGGGACCTGCCATTAAATGAGAAGAGGAAGTGGGTCAGGGACAAACTGATGGAAATGGAGAGTGTGCCTGGAACGGAACCAGAAGTGTCCTACCACAAAAGAGGAAGATACACAGTAATGCTACTATGTGTGGACCCCACTTACGCACAATTCCTTATTTCATTAGGAGCCCTGAAGTGCAAAGGGTCAGTAGTAACGATCCAGACATGGAAACCGCCCAAAGAGCCTCAAGCGGAAGCATCCCGACATCGTCAAACAATGCTCATAAATCACTTCTGGGTACAGTTCGACAATCTGTCCGAAGGCTTACATAGCTTCGTCCAAAAAAGGTTGCAGGAGGAGTACCCCAACAACCCAATCATTGACTGGTTGCCTGCAAACCCAAACTTCATGGGTCCAAATCATGATGCTCGGGTAGCGTGCCTGGAAGTATCGACAGGAACGCCACCAAAGTTCCCTGAAGTTTGGATCTTTCGAAAGAGTGGACAAAAATTGAACGTGTTCCTATCCACCAAGACAAACCCCTATTGTTTTCGTTGTAGAAAAAGAGGTCACCTTGGCATGCAGTGTCCACTTACGGGGGAAACAGGTAAGAAGATCACACTCAAGCAGTCGATGCTGGTTGAGTGCGATACAAAACCAGGGGTATGGTACATAAACGAAGCACAGTACAGGGGGTGGATATTCGACAACAACTTGGAAAGCCCCAAATGGATTTGGGTCCTATCGGGCGAACCCAAGCTGAAGTCGGACATCTACCCACCATACGACAGTAGGTGGAGAGCGGTTGGGGCCAAACGTATGGAGGACAGAAGCACAGGCTTCCTGACAGAGCACATAATCAATGAGGCTGGCCTGCTAGACGAAAAGCAAAGGATGGAAACAATGAACGAACTGCACGAGGTAGGGAAAATCGCAGAAACAGCATACCTGGAGAACCAACGAGCAAGAAGCTCCCCAGGAAGTCAACGAGACTCGGCCTGCTCAACCCCCAAATCTCTGTCACCATCCAAGTCAGAGGGTGCCACTCGGCAGATTAATAGATCCTTAAAACGCAAATCAGAAGACTCAACTAACGAGCCAGCAAAGACCGAAACCGACAAAGGAAGACAAAAAACGGTCGGCCTAGCTAACGCTCTATCTGCCGACATGGACTCCGATGCGCAAGCAAGCAACACTCAAGTAGACGCTGCAACGGGATCAAGCGGCAGCGTACCAACGGAAATGGAGGAGGACCAGTCACAGCAGTCTGACGGGGAGGAGGACAAACAGCAGACAGACACAGGAAGGGGTTCCAAACGAACCAGGTCAGAGGGCAATTCCAATGAAACAGATACAGAGGCTCAGGAAGACGATGAGGACAGTACAGAACAGGGGGACACAGATATGGAAGATGAGGAGGACCAAGACCAAGACACAGATCCCGACTCCCTGGAGTACGTACAACAGTACGTGTGTTCCTTGGAGCTGAACAGATCTGTAGAATTGGAGGTAAGGCTGGCACACCATAAGCACCTCCGCAACCTCAGATCAGCAACCAAAAGAGAGGAGGACATCACGACAGAGAACAAGTATGAAATCCTCAAAAGGGAAGAGGAGATCAATGAATTTTACGCCGCACAGTACAGCATGAAGGCAAGGGTGAAAAAGAACAAGATTGAAGTGGATAGAAGTACCTATGAACAACACTTCAATTGGCCCAAATCCTATGCAGAACAAAAAGCAGAGAGAAAACTAAAAAAACAGAGAAATGCAGCAGAATCCGGAGACCAAGGGAAAGAAGACCACAGGCCACAACCTTCACCAGCAGATCCAGACTCAGCAGAGGACCTTAGAAGGCAAGCAGCAATTCTGGAAGCACAAGTAAACACGTTGAGGGACCAGAATCGGAAGCTCAACGAGAATTGTCTGACACTCAAGGACGTGGCCGGGGTAGGACACAAAGAAATCGAAGCTGCAGCCAGGCTGGACGCACGCAGCAGCCCCAAAAGGCGGACAATCCTACCTTATCGCTGGAACACCAGATACGAAACTTGGGAGGTAGCTTATCATAGGTCCCACGCATTGATCTCAGTCCCAGAGAAGGACATCAATTGGGCAGTTCTGTGCGACCTCATCTCAGACAGTGTACCAGACAAAATTCACACCCTGGGCACAAGGGAAGAGGGAAGGGAAGAGTGGAAGGATCAGGAAGGGGACAGACAGGTGGCGGACATGAGGCCGTTGCTGATGGAGCTGGAGGAATCAGCGTACCTCAAGGGAGACCTCTGCTGGGTTCCATGGCAGGCAATAGAATCCATGCCATATGGCCTGCTGGGAGGAGAGATGGTAGCGGAGAGAGCTACCTTAAGCAGCGCACAGGTGACAGCACACAAAGTTTTTACGTCGGACCCAAACGACCTGCAGCTGAAGTTGCTGACAGACATCTTCACTAGAAGATACATAACCGCCTCCGGCTCTTAAAAAGTTTTATAACAAGGACCAACAGAAAGTGGATCTAACTTTCAGCCATGGGGGAGCGAGACAGATCTGACCAACCCCCTAGGGCTATAAGAAGATTCACATTACGCAGACATGATCCCGACTTAAAAATCATTTCGTGGAATGTACATGGAATGTTGTCCCTACTCTCTAACCAAAAGAAATGGGACAACATGATCAAAGATACAGGCTGGTTTGGAAGATCACCGCCCGATCTCCTCTGTATTCAAGAGACACATTTAACGTCATCAGAGGATCATCAGAAGGCACAAGACCAAATCATGAAAAAATTAAAATGGACAAAGGAAACAATCTGGGCACCCTCAACACGTCCCAATTCAGCCGGTATGACCATCCTAACCAACAGCCGTTCCAAAGCAGCAAACAAGATCTCTAAAATAGCCGAGAATTATGACACAGAGGAGGGCAGATGGGCAAGCCTAGATTTCCACATCTATGAAGAGAGATTCAGACTGATCACAGTGTACTGCCCGAATACACTAGCACAAAGAGCAAGAGTAATAGAAAACCTACTCCCAAAGTGTGATCCTAGCATGCATATTATACTAGTAGGGGACTGGAACGCAACACTAGACCCAACAAAAGACCGCTTATCCGGAAGTACAGCAGGATCAGAGCAAGCATCTTGGAGCGAAACAATCCCCATCCTAGATCTAATGACCGAAAAAGACCTAGTTGATCCATTCAGAAGCCTGCACCCAGACAGCAAAGAGTTCACCTATGTAAAAAGGAACCGAAGCCAGCATATTTCTTCATCACGGATAGACTACTTCCTAATCTCCACTACACTCATAGGAGCCATTCACAAGACAACAATAGGAGACTTGCCTCATTACTCAGGACTAGATCATAAGCCGATCACTCTACAACTAAAATTAGGAACTGCACCCACAAGAGGTAGAAGTTTCTTCACAATCAACAACTCCATTTTAAATACTCCAGAAATAAAGGAAGCGGTACTGACAGCCTGTATCAACCATGACTAAACCAACCTAGAATTCCCGGATCTCGTCACGTCCCTCTCGGAACAGACCGCAAAAGCTTCTCAAGTTCTAGCATCCAAAAGGAAGGCCAGAACAGAAGAACTTACACAAGCAATGAGATTGGCGAAAAAGAACCTACTCGCAACACCAGGAAACACCATGTATGAAACGGTCCTTGAACATGCCAGGCAGGAGCTGTCGGACTAAGAATGAGAGCCAGAATAAAAGAATGGGAGGAAGGAGAAAAAATGACCAAATGCTTTTTCAGCAGAATTAAAACAAACGCTAGAAATGCAAGCATAAACAAGTTACAAACGGAACAGGGCCCGACTTCAGACCCACAACTAATGCTATCCACTGCAGCAGCATTCTTTCAAGACCTCTACACCTCAAAAGAACGAAACTCCTCACGGCAGGAAGCCTCACAAGCCAGAAGTTCTTACCTCGACAGGACAATATCTACAGAGCAGGCAACAGCACTAGATGCCCCCATTAGCGAACAAGAAGTTTTAGGAGCTTTGAAATCAATGAAGGCAAACAAAACACCAGGAATTGATGGGCTATCCAAGGAGTTCTGGGTAGCCTATTGGCCAGCACTAGGGGACAAATATTTTCAATTCCTGGAAAAAGCTTGGACAAAAGGAACACTCGGAAGTAAACAAAGCACGGGAGTAGTCACCCTCCTATACAAGAAGGGAGACCCTACGGACATCAGGAATTACAGACCCATCTCATTACTGACAGTCACCTACAAAATTTTAGCAAAACTCCTAGCTAACAGAATAAGAGATATAACCAAAAACTGTTTTCACCTTGACCAAACAGGATTCATACCAGGAAGATTCATCCTAGACAACGTAATGACCCTTTCAGAAACCGTCAGATATATACAGGACAAAAGAATGAATGCTGCCATCCTTTTTTTCGACTTTGAAAAAGCCTATGACCAAGTCAACTGGAACTTTCTTCAACAAAGCATGGAAAGGATGGGTGTAGGACCAAACTTCAGGAAATGGGTCCAAATTCTCTATTCCGACGCCCAGGGGAGAGTCCAGGTCAATGGACATCTTTCACAACCCTACCGGATGTCACGCTCCGTGAGACAGGGAGACCCACTTGCCGCCCCCATATTCCTATTCATCATGGAAGCTATAGCCTCTTTCCTAAGGAAGGACCCATCGATAGAAAGGCTAGTAGAGGACAGAGTCCACCCCATTAACTTGCCCACCACAATCCTTTTTGCCGACGACTTGACAGTACTAATACGGGCCTCAGATTCCTCTTTCGAAGCACTCACAAGAGCTATGCAGGCTTTCCAATTGGCATCAGAAATGAAAATCAATTGGGATAAAACAATTGGCTGGTGGCTAACGGAACCGCACTTGAACCCCCCACAATGTACCCCCGGGGGAATGATCTGGAACCGCGGCAATGAACCGCTCAGATTCCTAGGCATTCAGATGTCTAAATTCGGTCCAAACCACGCAATGGCACCAGTAATAATGAACATAATGATAGCTAAACTAGGCAGTTGGACAAACGTCCACACATCGACTTTCAGTAGAGCGCTAGTTCTAAATGCATCAATCTTTTCTATGCTCTGGTTTGCCGCAACAATCTGGAGCCCCCCCAGACAACTCAAATCACAACTAAGGAGACGAGCAGCAGCGTACCTATGGTCCGGGAACCCATCCAAGGAGCACTTCATATCAAAGGTAGCCTGGAAGTATGTGATTCTTAAGAAATCTAAGGGAGGCTTAGGAATTCTCGACCGAGAAACGCAGATCAAGGCCCTACAGACTAAATGGATACTCAAATTAATTACGCAGAATAACCTACCATGGACTCAATTAGCCCTGCGAAGAATACAAAAGCTGGCAAAATTCAAAACACCAGACAACATGAAGGGCCTGTTCTAGATCATGGCCAAGTCATGGGCAATGAAAGGCACAACCAAGGCAACTGATATGGAAAATGAAGAAGCCGAAAGCAACGATTTCTGGAAACATTTGCTAAAAACATGGAGAGAAATACTGCCAGCAAAAGTGAGAGAGCCGACAACCAAAGAGGAAGTACTCAGACAACCCCTCTTCTGCAATCAATGGCTGGTGGATCCGCAAGGAAAACCTTGGACGCTAACAGCCAAAGATTCAAGATGGGGWTCATGGGTGGAGAAAGGAGTGTGGCAGATTAAGCACCTCTGGCACAACACAGATCAATGGAAAACACCAGAAGAATTGAGAGAGCAATTAAAAGGTTGTCACAACCTACAAGAGAACCTAAACAACATACTGATCTCAATACCGGAAAACTGGTGCAAACTCCTCAGAAGTAACCACAGTTGGGCAGCCGGAGATTGGGCAACAGAGACAACAGACAGTCCCCCTACGAGGGCATACCGTTTTCGAACCAAAGAGGGACCCAGAAACAACTGGCTCATCTGCGACATCTACAACATAGTGGACCCAGGAGCAACAACAAGCCTACTAAGTAAGAACCCTGAAGGAGAGGTAGCTTGGAGCGATCAAAAACTGAGAAAGGTGAGAGTAGTGAAAACACAAGAGCGCAGAATTTACAACCCACAAACCAACATAGAAGATCCGGAACTCGACCCGGCGGAATGGGCATGGAAACAAAGAACAGGGAGGCTTAACCTAGAAAAGCGCACGAATATCCTGGAATATACCACTAAGCTAGGATACACCCTACAGATGAGATCATATCCCGTAACCCAAATTATAGGCCAAAGATGGGAGGCACAATTTAATCTCCCACACAATCAAACTCCAAGCATTCCTTGGACAGGCATCCTAACCATTAACCTAGTCAAAATAAGAAGCTTCCAGTGGCTACTCGCCCACCTAGCTCTACCGGTTAACAAGTGGCTAAACAAGAGAAGGAACACACAACTCAGATCCCCGCTACAGGAACTGTGCGCAATTTGCCCGGAGGGTCTCGTAGAAGACGTGAACCATTGCCTATTACTTTGTCAAAAAGCCGTACAACTCTGGAGAAACGCAGCTGAACTGTGGAAAACGATTACTAACAGGACCCTACCAACTGATCAAACCACCCTCCTTCTAGGGCCGCACATCCCGCCCTCGTGGCACGACCACAAAACCCCATTCTTCCACACTCTTAGACTCGTGACATTATGGACCACATGGAAAAGACGATGTCAAGAGACGATTGACGGAACACCAATGCCCGTGCAAGAGGCATGGGAAGGCATCCTTCACATAATAGAGGACGAGTACAGGGGGCGCTGGAAGAGAGTCTGTAAGAGAATAGAAAAGAACATTGCAGATAGGGATAAGATAGTGGAGGCATTCAGTAAAAAACAACTGGGGGAGGGGAAAATAGCGACAGTCTACCAAAACACGATTYRCTTCGGTCATTGGAGATACAATAGACTAACCCCACCGCAATCAATAGAACTGCCCCATAGCAGGAGTCATCTCACAGGAATGTCAATTGGATCCAGC